ACACATACATATACAGTACAGTTGCTTCTTCTGTTTGTGCAGAAGCAACCGAGGCACGGCTGAGGGCGGGATAAAGGCGGCAATCGGTGAAATGTGTGGTTTTGATTAATACCCCCCCCCCCCCCTCTGCCAGTCATGCCAAGAAAAGGGCCGCCCGAAATACTTATTTTAGCATTACGACCCCATTCTGTTCTTTGGGCATCCGCCATCGGGGACCGGTTTCAGGCTTGTACTGTAGTCTTCCGAGAAGGCGACCCCATGTATCAACCAACGGTGGACATTAGCCTTTGCAGCTAGTTCTGCATCGACTAGGGGGCGCTGAACGGCAGAAGAGGGCCCCTTCAATGCGAGGCCTCCTCCTTATGCCATGCCTGTCGCAAGCAATGAAGCAAGCCAGGGAGCAGCTGAAGCATAAACGAATTTTGGAAGAGCGCGTGCAACAGCAGAGAGTTAACCCATGACATCAGCAGCTGAGTAAACTGAGAGATGCCGTTAATGTCCCGGATGGCATCCAACAAGAGGAAGTTATCCTACAGCCCATGCCATCACCCTCACCTGCAGCTTTGGAGTTAAGTATCGCTTGAAGTGGAGCCGCCACAAGTTGTAGGCATCTGCGCTTCAGGTGACTCACCGCCAGACAAGCATTGCCACCTGCACTCAAAGCCTTCGGACCAAGCCGAGCTCGAGGCGTCAAAAGAGCAAGCTATGGCAGCAGGAGAAGCTGAAAGACTTTCTGCACAAACACCGCTTCGTGGATGTATGTGAGCCGAGCACCACATGGATGCACTGCTATGCCATGTTTGGTGGAGAGACCCTCTACCCCATCCATGTCGCTGCCCGCGAGGGCGACCCGGAGATTCTGCTCTTCGGCTGTTAGGACTTTAGGGGTAGTGCACTGCACTCGCGGGGTTGTGTTGCTCCAGGTCATGGCAGGGTTACCAGCCCGAAGGTTCAAACTGAGATCTCACCGCTGAGGCGCTTGCTCCTCCAAGCACGCGCCGACCCGGAGCAGAAAACATCTTGTGGCCGGACGGCTGAAGCCGTGGCCAGAGACGCAGACGTCTTTGGCTCTCACAAGGAGGTGGTGGACATGTTGCGGGGGGGTCTCAAAGTCTTAGGGCTGCGTGAGGCCTTGTCGGTAATGATTGGTAACATGAAGTCAGCTCATCACGAGCTGGAAAAGCATGACTCGGTTTCACAGAAGACAAGGGCAGGGCCTCAGGGCGGAGCAATCCTGGCAGCGATCCGTAAACGCGGAATGGCATGTCGCGGGCACGGAAGCTAAAGCCTTCTGTTCTGCATCATGCCCGCATTGCCTTAGCGATGTTCACGCTACAGGCGGGTATCGGCCTCATGTTTCATCGTGTTTCGTGGCAGGTCACATCGCCGCCTGGAGCGTGGATGGGCCTAACCTTTGCACAGTCAGGGTGTCTTGCATGGTGTATGCAGTGTGGTCCGGTGTTTTTGGGGGGCCTTCAGCATGTTTTTAGTCGTCCGTCCGTTTGAGGCTCAAGTAGACATGTTGGTTACGTGGCTGGAGTGTGTCCGTGGGGCTCTATATCGGTGGTTGGTTGCAGGGCGGGCTGTTGCTGGAATACACCTATGTCTTCCACTGCAAGCACACCCGATTGATTCTCCACTGCAGGGTGCGCTCTTCTTGCTGTCTTCTTTCAAAACCTACTTCGTTCTCAGGTTTGATCCCACACCCACGGCACCTTCCCAATCGTCGAAACTTCCATTCGCAACTGATGTCTACTGACCATTGGATTTCGAGAAGAGCCTCCTGGTGTGTTTGCTGTCGTTGTGCTCAGGGCCAAGTGCTAGAGGTACTTGTGCTGCTGAGCAGACGGTTATTGGAAGCTTCGGACAAAGGAGCGTTAAGCTTTGCATGCAAGTTTCTCAACGATGGACATTGCAAGAGATGGCCTTGTGCGCTTCTCGTTTCGCAGACTAGCAAGCAACCGCAAGCAGTCTGCAAAGATCTGTATAGTTGGCGTCACTTGGAAAGGCAGAGGCTGACCGGAGTCTTGTAGCAGGGATGGAAGGTTCCCTTCCAAGAGGAGCTTGCGTTTGTCCCAACTCGTGCACACTTCTGCTTCCAGGCCTTTCCTAGCTGGCAGCCTTGTTTCAAGCGCTAAAGCGCGGCCTTTAAGGTGCCGAGTTTACGTTTCTTGTGGATGCATATTCCCTCTGCACGAGATCGGATTCCCGACTCCGAAATGTAGTTGAGGAAACTGCACGACTGCATACGGAATTAGGCGGGTATTGCGAGCATTGGCAAGAAGTGCCGTATCGCTTGTCTTGCTCTTTGAGTTGGGATCCACATGGGTCTTCTGGACCTCTGAGAATTTGCCGTGCCGTACATCTCGAGGCCGTCCTGGACCCTAGCCCTAGCTAAGCATTCACCAGGCAGGTGCAGGGAGCACGTGGATAAATCGTGCAAACACCGCACTCTCGGTCAATAGGCTTACCTCTGCAGAGGATTTCATGCAGCGTCGATCTGAGAACGAGGCAACGACTGCTGCCAGCTGGCAAATGACGTGATTACTGGAGTTTGCGATCTCCGCTCCTGCCAAGAACAAATCGTGGCCACACTTGTGCAAGAGTGGGTGACAGGTGCCAGCTGTCACTTCGGTACATCACTATAAGGTCTAGGACAGAAGCTCGAGCTACTGCAAGCATAGCCTGAACACGTCACGACATAAGCGCCGAGCCTGCCATCAAGACACAGCCGAAAGCACGTGTCAGGACGACAGGGGACTTAAGCGTCTCTGACAGTCCAAACGATTGTTTACGCCGCAGCCGCGCAGCTCAAGGGCGACCCGGCCCGACTCGCCGGACTCGATGCATGGGGATTTCGGGACTGGCATAATTGGCCGGGCTGGGCCATCGAAGCCGTGCCTCAGCAAGGCACCAGGTGTGAAGTGCCCTCGTAGACAGCCATGCATCGTCGTTGACCATGGAGATAGCATGGGATTTTGCAGAGATGTTGCCTCTCTGACCTAAGGCGAGCGAGCTTGGATGACATGGCTTTGCCAGACAAGCCGGAGTTATTCATCGCGGATATCGAGATCGTGTGGGATGACGGCCAAGACTGGCAGCAGCGCCAGGAAGCGAAGTCAGTGAAGTCTTTGACTCGGAGACAGAACAGCAGACGACACGTGGAACGGGAAAAGCAGCAGGAACTGCTGAAAGAGTTTCTGAAAGAGTTCCACTTCTCGAACGTGTCCGAGCCCAACGTGACGTGCAGCAAGTGCAGCTGCTTGTCCTTACTAACTCCCGAGGTTGTCTATCCCATTCATGAGGCTGCCAGATTGGGGGATGCGTCTCTGATGCGTTTGCTTCTTTTGGCGAATGTGGACCCGGAGCAACGGACCTCCAAAGGTCGAAGTGCTGCTGACATCGCCAGGGCTGAAGACAAGTCCGGTTCCCACACGGAGGTCCTGGACATGTTGTTGAATGGCCTCAAAGTGCTGCATCTTCGCGAGGCGATGACCGTGATGATGCAAGCATCTTGTCGACCGGCGTCGAGGTAGACAGACACGACAGTGACTGGCGGCATGGCAGAGGCCGCCGCGTTTTTCATTGGAGTTTAGCGGTGCTTCCGCACTCTGTGGCAGGATTACCTGGATGATTCCACACCAAACTTTCAACTTTTCCCCTTTTAACTGTCTTTCAAGCATGCGCTCGTGAGTTTTTGTCCAGAAATTACTGTGCTGGTGGACGCTGATGCCGGCACCAAGCCATAATCCTTTCAACAGTGTTTGAAACCAAGGCCTTCACGACGCCAGGTTGCTGATGACATTGTAAGCACCAGCAAGGGCAGCGCATCTGTGGACTCGAAATCATCACTGTCATAGTTGCAACCAGGGCGGATTTCAAGGAGGTCAGTCCCGGGCCAGGCCTCCAGAGATGTGGCAAAAAAGCATCTTTTTCTGGAAGTGGAAGTGAGAACAACTTGAGGCCGTCCTTGGGAGAGCTTGTTACTTGTGGACAGGAGTGCCTCTTGCGGCGGAGTTGGAAGAGCAGCTCCACTTCCTTCTTGAATTGGTAGGAGAGCGGCTCCATTGTTCACACTTTGTGGATTGTTGTATCGCAACGCAGTGAAGGACTAAAGAATCTGGAAGCACCATTTCAACTCACAGCAGTTCGTAGTGCAAGCATCCGTTTCTTCAAAATTCAGCCCGGGAACACTCAAACGTGTTGAACCGCGCTGCTGGTATTTTCTTCTGGAGATTCCTCCATGCCGGAAGTAAAGCCTTTCGTGAAATTTGTGATTTCGTTTCCAACTACTTTTGATGACTGGCCAATGTGTGGCCGCTCGAGGGGTAGGCTGACAATTTTCGTCCGGCAAGTGTCCGGAGAGTGGTCGGATCTGACGGGGAGTTTGCGATGGGCCAGATGTGGAACAAAGCTCTTGAGCTGGAGCCGGCAGAAAGCAAATATCTGTGGGGGCTGCTCTTGGTCTTGGGCATTGGCAGCACAGTGTCTCAAGAGTCATAGTAATAGTAGCCGCCGTTATCTCATGGCTTGCGGGATTCCATCACACCGCAGGGCTCCCTCCTTCGAACGGCAATGAGTAGTTGAACAAATCTTGTTCTTCCTGCTTCTCCGAAAGCTGGCGATGCCGGAAACCGCTAAAAGGTTGCAAGAGCTGCAAACTGTGGCTTCGAAGGCTCCTTCGTGTAAGTCAAAGCTCAACTCCTCAAAGACGGGGCAGTCCGGGGATCTTAACAGAAAATGCGATGGCTTTCCAGAATGCCTTCACTTATGAGGAAATAAGATGACTCACTCAATCGGACCACGAGTCAGAACGCAAGCTGATCCTGCACCAGGCAACTACGAACCAGATGGCGAAGATCCATGGCAAGGCATCGTCGGCCCATGTCTCCGAGTCGCGAGGTTTCGAACCCCAAGCAGCGTCGCAGCAAAGTTGAAAAGTGGCCTCGGGAGTTTGACAGATGCACTTTGGGTCCGTTTCCGCAGTGTTGACGCAGTGTGTCAGCATTTCGAAGCCACAGACCAGCTTTCAATTTGGCACTGAAAATGTTACAACAGCAGAGACGCAGGGAGACAAGTTGCCGATATATGTGTGTGTGGCCTCATGTTGAGCTCAGCAACAAGCCACGGCCACAGCACAAATTCCGGCAAGCGGGGGACATACATGTGCACGTGGCACAAAACTGACGTTCCGCCAGCTGTTGATGGCAGAGTCGAGGTGTATCAATTTGCATTCGCAGCAGGTCTAGACTCTAGACTGAGCGTTTGGGTCAGAGATGTGGCAGGCGGAGCCATTTTGATTTTTCTACCTGGCCGGGCGCCTGGTGTGAGACGTGCGCCTGAAACTCAATGAGAGCACTCCGTCACGACGCAAAGACGGAGCACGTCCTCCAAAGAAAGAAGATTCAAAGAAGCATCCAAATCAACATGGCCATCCTGTGCTCTTTTTGCCGGGCCCATGGGCTGGCCACGGCGGCCACGGCGGCCATGGTCATCTCTGTGCCGAGAGCTTAGACCGTCTCATGCGCGAAACTTGTGACTCTGACGGTTTCCTGTCTTCGAGGTGCCCTGCATGCAACGTCCTGTCCGCCGCAGCGTGTTCCGTATAGTCCCAAAGCTAGAGCCGACGACTCTTCTCTTCACCACTTCGCCATGGCTGCCATTTGGGAGGTTGTGGGTGGAGCCGACAAGGGTGGCATCCTCGTCCGTGAAAGCTCGGACCTGTCCTCCGCCATTTTGGACCGCCGCTTGGCGACGGGTGCCAAAGTGAAGGAAGTTCAGTGGCAAGACGGCCGCCTGGGCTACGAACTCGTCTCAGGCACCGGTCCCGCCAAGGGATGGGTGACGGTGAATCTAAAGGGCAAGGACCTTTTGGTACAGCTTGAGAAAGAGCTGGCTGAGTCCACCAGTGAGGGCGAGATCCAGGTGGAAGCAAGCAGCGAGTCAGACGTGGCCAGCCCGACCGGCAAGGTGAACGAGAAGGAGCCCTCGAATGACGAGAAGGAAGCCCTGAAGCAGTACCTGGACAAGTTCGGTGAGAACAGGACAGGCTCCAACCCTGGCTTCAACCGCAAGGCCTTCCCCTGGGCAGTGAACCACGCAGCAAAACGCACCACCCCAAAGGAAGCTATCGAGGCGGCTCTCATGGCGCCGAAGCCGAAGAAGGAGCGCAAGTCTGCACCGACGGATGTGGATTCCGAGGGCGAAGAGGTGCCATTGTGCTGCAGGTGCCTGATGCCGGTTGGGGAGTTTGCCTATGAGGGTCGCGAAGGCCGTGGCAGCTGCGTCCATGCAGAGTGCATGGCACAAGTCCTAGTGGACGATGCCCAGAGGCAGGAGGACCGACGCATGGGCTGGGAGGCGGAGAAGAAGCTGAAGAGCCGCAAGGAGTACGAGATCGGTTGGGTCATGGACAGTGTTCCCAAGAACACGACCTGGGCTGAGCGCATGGGTTGCAGCGCCACTCCTCAGGGTTTGTGCTGCCTTGTGTTCGATGAGGTGACCCGGACTGTGAAGGTTGCACCAACTTTGGAGCCTGCTGCCGCAGTGAACCTGGAGTACCTGCTGTTGGCTTTGAAGGTGCGCAAGACAGCCTCCCGCGAGCCGTTGTTCTCCCTTGACCCAGTCGACCCACAGAACCTTGAGAAAACTCCGCAGAAGAAGGTGTATGAACCCAGCTGGCTGGCCGGCACTAGCGTGGGTGATGTCATGTTCCAAGCCGACTACTTCTTGAAGGAGCTTGCCCTCGGCGAGTACGAGATGCCTGTTTCCGGCATGCTGAGCGTCTTTGATTGGTCCGAGCTTTCCGACAAGGACCGCGCAAGATGGTAGCACTTTCTTACAAGGTTTATGCACATGGCTCAAGGGGCGAAGATAGCGCTGAGAGAGTGCTGAGAGGCCGGGGTTTATACTTTGGCCTTGTGCTGTGGTGCTCCATGATGCGCTGCAGGACAAAGCCTGGGCGGGGCGAGAGTGGTACGTGGTGAAGAAGGCCGAGGTGAGGTTAGCGCAGGACAAGACCCTGGTCCCTTTCGTGAAGATGGGTGTGGAAGCCCACGAGCAAGTTGTTACCAAGAAGGGCCTGGAAGATGCGGCGGTCACGGCTTCCACGCATCCTCTGAAGAAGTTCGCGGACGCCTTCACTCGCAACTTCGACTTGATAGCGGAGCGCAAGAGCGTAGTCTACCATGTCCGGGAGTTGGCGAAGGCGTCCGTGCTGGCTAAATACTTGGTCGACTCTCACACGCGCCTGGATCCATCTTGGTACCGGCTCGCCGACGAGATTGTGAAGTCCACGCCGAAGGAAGCACATCCAGAGATCCCGCAGCTGTGGAACATGCGCGGCAACTCCCGCATTCAGCTGAAGAATGGCCGGCTCATTGATATGTTCACTGGTGGCCAGCGCAATCTGCAGGCCATCTACGGTGGTGTGGAGTTCGGGCTCGACCGCTTTGAGCTGGCACAGCGCCATGCCCTCCAGGGCCAGACGGGTATGCAATTGGGGCAGTCGGGCCGACCCATGTTCATGCCCCAGCGATTCCAGCTCGGACAACGGGCAGAGATGCCGCAGGGTGTGGATCTGAATTTGGACAAGTTTGACTTGACCAAGCCAGAGCGCTTCGCTGGCAGTTTGCCTCCATGCAGTGGTGGTCCAGATTCCTTGGAAGCCAAGGTGACCTTGGGACGGGCCTTCTTGAGGAGCTTGCGAGAACAGGACTTCGACGACTTGAAGACAGAGTACAAGGAGTTGTTGGTCAAGGTCTTCGGCTCCCCGCAGTGCGACCGCACAGGCGAGGGTGATTCTTTCATCCCTCCGGATCCCAACATGGAGTACGCCGCCAAGCTCCGTAGCCTCATCCACGAGGAGAAGTCCCTGCTGGAGCGCCGCAAGCTGCACTTCTTCGACCGCAGCTTCAAGGCAGGCAACCCGGGTACAGACTTCCCTCGCTCTTGGACATCGCGCTTCCAGATCGAGAAGGATGGCGTGGCCCCCAAGTTCGAGGTCTCCAACAAGTCTGGCTTGAGCAAGGTTGAGTTCGACGACAGCTTCCGCAAAGTCTTGGTCTCCGACATTCTGCCGACGGCAGCACCTGAGTTCAAGCAGATCACGGAGGATGGCACTGTGTTCCGCATCTACCACATCGGCAGCCTCGAGGTGCGTACCACGGAAGAGAAATTCGGCGAGGAGCAGGTGGGCGTCCTGTTCTCGACGTCTGCACCTACCTGGAATCTGGCATCTAAAGACAGGTCCCAGAGCGTCGCTGACGGCGAGAAGATTCAGAATTGCAAGGTCTACTTGGAAGCTGCTGAGGGTGAGGCACATGCTAACAAGCAGCCACACCATTTCTACCTGGTTTGCCAAACGGCAAGCAAGAACTTAATCGTCACCGAGAAGCTTGCCACTGGAGCCACCACATGCGTCGTGAATCCTGCCAACTTGGAAGATCGGAACTCGCTGGCGAAGCTGCTCTTCACTTCCGATTGCCTAGAGCAGACAACTGTGCGCTCCTTGAAG